ATATGACATTAGGTTACAAACCAAAAGTGGCCAACATAAAGAATATGAAAGTGGCCAAACCTAAGTAATATTAAGTCTTTCACTTTAAACCATTGCATATAATACACACTTGACAAACTCAACTCTTACTAGTAGCATCCTCATTATCTTGATCACCTACACCATAAGAAAAATTATAAGCTAAAACTTAATAATTTTAATCATGAATGAATATAAATAGATACATTTTTCATGAAATTGAAATATGTTTTATGTGCTCGAGCGCACCTCGTTAAATGTATATGTATTCAGCCTTCAATGAAACCTTTCTTGTGAAAACCATAAAAGCACTAGTCATAATTGTTTCATAATCCTCTCAAAAGGTTGATCATTCCCTTTATAAGCCCTCTTGATCATATTTAACCGTGAGTTTTGAAACTATGAACATAAACATGCCCTTTCTTCTATTTCTTAAAATCATGATAAAGCATTTTTAGGATATGAATGGAATTTAGAATGCAATTCTCAAGTAATTACTTGAACATAATTCAAGTAGGACTAAGTAAGTCATATGGCTGAAACCAACATATGAAACAAAATTATGTAACATGAATTCAATACATGAATCGAAACCCCTATGCTTTAACAAGTATTCTCATCAATAATTAAACACCTAAACACATAATCAAGTAACATTAATTAATCATATAACCTAAAATAATCAAGTAGCAAGTATTCTATCAATCAATGATCATAAGAAGGCATAATCACATGACATCAACCAATATATAAATTCGAAACCACCATAGGACTTGTCCAATGTTCAATCATTCAATTAACACATCTCCAATGTTCAATTATCCAATAATCACATGAATGCATATCCATATAACCTCATAAGTGTTCAATCACCAATTAATACATGGATATAATTCAAATAACCTCAAGTAAGCACTTAGTTGTATTCATCAATTAACATCACAAGTAAACATTCATCAATTAAGCATCTAAGCATAAAAATCCTATAACACTCATGTCTTATGATGTAATTGAGATTACACTTATCTTAGGATTTAACTAGTGTTGAAAATATCTTAGAAGCTTTTAAAAATCTCATTTTCCTTCCTTGTTGTTGCTCTTGGCCAAATTCCCTAAAATTTCCTTCCTTTCGACCATACACACTAGGCTAAATCTCTCTTCCTTTCACATAGAATTGCTTTCTTAGTAGATTTGGTTTTTTGTTTTGTCGATTCTATGTTTTTTAAGGCTAAATTATCACTAAGATGACTTAGAAATTCGTCCTTTTTTTCTTCCTCTATTTGCCAACTTAGAGGGATTAAAGAAGCCAAGAATTTCCACTTGTATAGACATTTATATGTTCATCTAACTAATAGAAATTTCTAGATTAAATACTTAATCAAGATATTTTTCTAAGTTAAAATGTATATGAGGCACCATTCAAACTTTATTTCTATGTTAATACATGCATAGAACACTTAATCAAGCTATATCTCTAAGTCCTCTAAGTTTGCACAACTCAACATACTAGTTACTTTACCTTGTCACTTACTTCACTTAAGCCCTTAATCTTTTAATTTTCATACTAAGGTCCCTTATTCACTTATACAATCATAATACTTAATAACATGAACTTGCAAAGCTAAACACTTATTAATGCAAACATAAAGCATAATACCAATGTAAACATAAAACATAACTTTCATGTAAACATAAAGCATAACTTCACATACTTTAACAAAGTAAACACACATATACAAGTGCTTTAGAATTTTCAAAGCCTTAGGTATTACATATGATATAAATGTGATGTATGTGTGTGATAAAATAAATGATGTTAGCCCTAATATTTGACACTCGTGTTCCCCTAAAAATATAATGAAAGTGGTGGGTGCGCGGTTAAATAATCGGTGTTAGCTCGTTTTGTTGATATTTTTTTTTCCTCTTTAAATGTGTTAAATGAAATCCTAATTATGTGAATTAAAGTTATAGGTGGCTTCGTTTTATATGGATGAAGCTATTGGTGACTTTCTATTTATATGAATCAAAGTTATTGGTGGCTTTTCATTTGTATGGATAGAAGTCATTGGTAGCTTTGTAATTATTTGAATCAAAGTCATCAATGTCTTTTCAATTAAATAAATCGAAATTGTCGGTAGCTTTTAATTTATGTAGATAGAGTTATCAATGTTTTTCTAATTATATGAGTCAAAGTCGTTAGTGGTTTTTTAATTATATGGACAAAGTCGTTAGTGGATTCTTATTTATGTGAATCAAAGTTGTTAGTGACTTTTTATTTATGTGAATCGAAGCCATCGGTGGCTTCTTACTTGTGAGACTTGAATTTATCGATGGCTTTTCGTTTGTATGACTTGAAGCCATTGATGGCTTTCAATTTGTGTGGATAAAGCCATCGATGGCTTCTTATTTATATGAATTAAATTCATTGATGGTGTCCTATTTATATTATGAAGTCGTTGGTGGTTTTCCATTTGTATGAATCAAAGTCATGAGTAACTTCTCATTTATGTAGATGAATTTGTATGTGGCTTCTCATTTGTATGAATTAAAGTCATTGGTGGCTTCCTATTTGTATGCATCAAAGTTGTTGATGACTTTATATTTATATGTATGAAGTCATCAGTAGCTTCCCATTTATGTGAATTAAATTCATCTGGTGGCTTCCTATTTATACGGATAAAGTCATCACCGGCTTTCTAATTATGTGAATTGAAATCATTGGTGACTTTTCATTTGTGTGACTTGAGTCATTAGTGGCTTCTTATTTTACCGAATCGAAATCATTGGTAGATTTTTATTTGTGTGAATTAAAGTCATTAGTGGCTTTCTAATGATGTGAATTAAAGTCATCGGCGGCTTTTTATTTGTGTGAAATAAATTCATCGATGGCTTCATATTTGTGTGAATCAAAGTCATCGATGGATTCTTATTTATGTAAATTAAAATTCTCGGTGGCTTTCCATTTGTGTAGATGAAGTCGTCGATAGCTTTCTAATTATGTAAATCTAAGTCGCTAGTGGCTTGCTATTTGTAAAGATAAAAATCATTGATGACTTTCCATTTGTGTAAATTGAAGTCATTGGTGGCTACCCATTTGTGTGAATTAAAGTTGTTAGTGGCTTTTCATTTGTGTGGATGAAGTTGTCGATGGCTTCTTAATTAATTAAATGAGAAAACATCAATGATTTCTAAATTATATGGCTAAATCTGTCGAAGGTTTTCCAATTATATACCATAGGTCAAGATCATTTATTATCTCCTAATCGTGTGTTAGGTTGAGACCATCATTGGCCTCCTAAATACGGGTCTCCCAATTGCGTGATGTGAGTCGAAGCCATTGGTAACTTTTCATTTTTGAACATCTCTCCTTCCTCTCATTTAGAGTGGGAAAATACTTCCTTCGATCGGCTTAAATCCTAAACAACTTGATCAACTAACTCCTAATAAAACAAATATATTCGATTAGGCATAAATGAGTAAAGTAAAATAAGACTAAATTTAGCTATTCAACATTCATACAATGCAACCTACCTCACGTAAAATGTAGTGACGGTGATTTTGACCTTCTCCACTTTTAACAAACCTCTTACCTAGATTTTTGCATAGACCAATCTTGTATGGGTTTTTTAATTCCTTAATACTAGCCGACGACTCTTTTTCTCAATTCCTTTCACAGAGAGAGACGGACCACGTTTGCCAAACCTTGTTGCATACTCATGAGACTTGTCGTTTCTTTTTACTATAAGTTCATTTAATTAAGTATTGTAAAAGATTGTAGTATTGTTACTATTCTATAAATTGTCTATTTTCATCCATATTGCAAACCTTTAATCTTAGTGTTTAGTTGCTTTCATTTATAGCTTATTGTTTTGATATTGTTGTTAAGGTTGCATATTAGATTAGAGAGTTTGAATTTTATCTTAAATCGTGATTTATTTTTAGTTATTCAATCTCTAATCTTGCAACCCAATTAGATTGAAAAGTCAAGGTCTCCCGACAAGGGGTCTCCAAAGCTATTGCATAATTTTTCTTTTATGCAATTTTAATTCCTTTGTAACCTAAACACCTAAAAATATCATAAATAATAGTTGTGGTTTACATCTACAAGTTAAGTTAGTTCATCTACTTGTAAGATTGAAAGATTGATTATCCCATTGACCCCTTTCTAATCATCTTTTTTTTTTTTTTCGCAAAATCCTTTTAGTTGAGGTCGATATAAAAAAACCCGCAACACACACATATTTCACAAATAAACCAAATCGTGACGTGGGCACATCACTTAATTTAGTTGAGGTCGATATAAAAAAACCCGCAACACACACATATTTCACAAATAAACCAAATCGTGACGTGGGCACATCACTTAATTTATACAAGACGGTTTTATTAACCCTTACATATATGAACTTGTTATCTATAAGTTTTTAGAAGAAATCACAATCTTAATTGAGTTTCATTAACTCTTAGCTAATTGTTGTTTCTTTACTGATTGCGATTTAAGTAATAATTAAAAAAATCTTATAATCCTAAATTTATCAGCAATTAACCCATAGATTAAAGACTTTTAAGAATTATAATAGTTAGGTGGATAATGGACTTGTTTCTTTCTAAAATTCAAATCTTAATAAATAAATAAATAAACGGCATAGCGGAACCTTTGCGGCAACCAAGTTAAAGCAAGAGAAAGTTGGAAACACTTGACCGGAGTAGCTGAGAAGGAATCTAACAGAGCGTGGGCTTTTTCTGACTAGTCAGCTCTGTTTGTCCAAAACATATAAAAACCACAAGTTTGCGTGGCGCCCTCCAGGTAACAGAAACGTTTCGATTCTTCTTCCTAAGCCTCTCTCTCTCTCTCTCTCTCTCTCAAATCTAACTATTTCCAACCCTCCCTTCAACAGAAAGAGAGTCAATGATTGTTTGTTGTTGTACCAGATAAAATTGAAAGTTCTCTCTCTGGAGTCTCTCTTTATGTAAATAAGAAAATGACAGAGAAGAGAGAGAAAAGAGAGATGGGTATGCTGTTAGATGGGATAATAGATGGCATGCCTGTGTTTGCTAAAGAGTTAGTTGCTGGTGGTGTTGCTGGTGGCCTTGCAAAGACTGTTGTAGCTCCCCTTGAACGTGTCAAGATTTTGTTTCAGGTAATATTGGTTTCTTTCTTCCACTGTGTAGTTTTCAAGATTTTGTTTGGGAAGAAGATCCTATTTATTTATTTATTTCTTGATGGGTGTCGTCTTTTCTTTTCTTTCTTTTTTTCGTTGCGATATTGGAATTCTTTAGTTATATTGGACTTGTTTTGACTACTGTTGAACTTGGATTATGAGCTCATAAATGGCTTGTTGCTTGGAATTTGTAGTAATTTAGTGAGTATGGATCTTTCTTGATTCATCAATGGAAGGGATCATAAGCAACAACATGTATGATGTTGTGTCAAAGCAACTTCTCATTGTGTGGGATAATATTGCTACCAACTCTGTGTTCGTCACCCAATACAAGAGGTTCATTCCATTGTCTGGTCTCAGAACAATATATTATGCATGGAGACAATGTCCATCCTCTCAACAGTGCACACCATCCTAAATCGATTTTCATTAATTCCTAGAACCTATTGCTGTTAATTTGGCTCATAAACCAATACGTATCGGAGCCCTGATGTCTGCCTACAGTAACATAGGGACAACACAAATCTAATCTTTTTCTTCCATCTTATTAGGTCATGTTATTATTGTTCATGCCCTTTCTGTGATTATAGTTCTAAATGCTTCTAGGCTTCATGTTGCCCCTAAATACACGTAATAATTTATGTTGTGTAACATAATCTGTAGAAATTAGCCTTGTTTGGCTGAAAAGAACCGATTTGTGTTGTCCCTTCCAGACCAGAAGAGATGAATTCAAGGCTGTTGGGCTGTATGGGTCATTTAAAAGGCTTGCACATACAGAGGGGATTATGGGCTTCTACAGGTGGATCCCCCAGTCATTTTCTGTTATGTGATGATTCCCATTTTCTCCTGCTGTTTGAATAATTTATTTAGTGTTATCTGCAGAGGAAATGGTGCTAGTGTTGCGCGAATTGTTCCTTATGCTGCCTTGCATTACATGACTTATGAGCAATATCGTAGATGGATAATCCTCAGTTTTCCTGATATTGGGAGGGGTCCTGTACTTGATCTGGTGGCAGGATCGTTTGCTGGAGGAACAGCTGTGCTGTTTACATATCCTCTTGATTTGGTTAGAACCAAATTGGCTTACCAGGTAAATATTTAACCTTTTTGTGTTTTTACAGAAAGTAACTTTCTCTTACACACCTAACGGACTAAGGGCCCCTGGAGATGTGCCAAACCCTTTAAGCGGCGATGCCGATGCAGGACAGCATCACAGCATTACTGTCCACTGGGTTTGGCTGCTCCTGGGTGATCTTGAGCAGCTAGTTAGAATTGTTCATCCTCCCTTCCTATGAAGCTTAAAATTTGAAGATGAAGTTAAGGATTTAGTTGATTTTCACATTCCCAATTTGATTCTGATAGTGCAGGTTGTCAGTTCTTCAAAAGTAAATATTCATGGGGTAGTTGGTACGGAAGAAGTTTATAAAGGAATTCGTGATTGTTTCTCAAAGACTCTTAAGGAATCTGGGCTAAGAGGTCTCTATCGGGGTGTGGGTATGAAGCACTTAGCTTGTTTAAACTTCTACTTCTAATTTAGTGCTCCTGTTGCTGCTCACATTCATGGGAATTAATAAGTGAACATCATTGTCAGCTCCATCCCTTTATGGAATCTTCCCTTATGCTGGTTTGAAGTTTTACTTCTATGAGGAGATGAAACGGCATGTCCCCGAGGAGCACAAGAAAGATATTGTGGTGAAATTGGTTTGCGGCTCTGTTGCTGGTTTATTGGGTCAGACCTTCACTTACCCTCTTGATGTTGTTAGAAGGCAAATGCAGGTAATTTTACTCGCAGAGGTTCCTCTACTCTTTCTTTTATTTTTATTGTGTTCCTTCACTTTTTTTCGTCTTAAATTCATTTCTTTATTTTTTGTTTCTATTTTAATCTCGTTATTTTCTTAAATTTTGGACTAAAGGTGTTAATTTTTGTTTTTTTTCCTGTCTTAATCTCATTCCTCTATTTTATTTTTTTGTTTAATCTTTTTTTTCTTTTATATTGAAATTAAATAAATGAATTTTAAAAAAAAATTGGAAAAAAAGTGAAGATATCAGTTTCTCTAAAAATTAAAAATAAATAAAAACTAAAAAAAGTTAAGATAATTTTTTCTTTTAATCCAAAATATTCTTTATCAGCTTAAATATGTATCTATAATAATAAGTAAATTTTAAGTGTATTTATATATATGTCTCATTACGATAGTATGCAAATTTTAAATATAAAATGAAATATTTATAGTAATATTTTTTTTTTTTTGATATGAAGAGAGATTTAGTTAAATTTTTAAAATTAAAAAATTTTTAAAATCAAAATAAGTAAATTACAATATATTCTTTTGAGATATTATAAAATTATAAATACCATTTAAAAGTTCAAAATTTAGCTAAAATTCTCTTCACATTTAAAGAAAATAATATAAATATTTTATTTTATTTTTAAAATTTATTTACCATTATAGAGATAAATTTAAACACATAAAAAATATTTTTAAAAAATACATATTTATAATTTTTAGATAGAATGATTGGATATATCTTCATATGTTTTTCAGTTTTTTTTTTCAAAATTTAATTATTTAAATTCTGTAAAAAAAAAAAAAGAGAGAGAGATTAAGATGAAAAAATAGAGGAGAGAGATGAGATAAAGATAGGGGGCAAAAAAAAAGTTAATATGGTTAGTCCAAAAAGTTAACAGATGAATGAGATTAATACAAACCCAATATAAAAAAGATGAACCTTAAGACCCAAAAAAAATAGAGAAACATGATAAAGACAAAAACAAAGAATAGAGAGATTTTTGCAACTATTAACACATTTCGCTTCGTGGTTCAAGCGAGACTCAGTTGCTGGATATTGAAACTGAGAAATTGAAAATGTTAATAAGTGAATAATCTTAATAGGTTCAAAGGCTATTGGTGTCAAATAACGCAGAGTTGAAAGGAACAATGGAAACTCTTATTATGATCATGCAAAGGCAAGGGTGGAAGCAATTATTTTCAGGGCTTAGCATCAACTACTTGAAGGTGGCTAAACCCTGCCCCTCATTATTATAGCTGCTAAAATTCCTCTGTGATTGCTTCTCTCTAACAACTTTATTTATGCGTTTCAGGTGGTCCCTTCCGTGGCGATTGGTTTTACAGTCTACGATATCATGAAAGCGAGCCTCAGAGTTCCATCACGAGATGTGATAGAAGTGGTGACTGCAGAGAGAAATAGTCAACCTTCTCTTCATTCATGATACCGGAGAACTTCCCAATTTTTAACCTTATCTGCCTTCTTCCACAAATAATCAAATATTTTACATTCAATTATTCCCATGCTATAAAACACCACCCGTAGGTTTCATCCACACTTGCCCTTTCCCTCTTAAAACAAATACTGCAAAAAAGAACAGAAAAAAATAAAAGTGCAAAGATTTGAGCATGTGCATCCCCAGAACTGAAGACAGGATCCGCATGCAGTGTATGCAAAGAATGACAAATGCTCAGCTGTAGAGTACAAATGATTTAATGGATGGAGAATCTAATGTTTAGCGATCAGGCTATGGTTTGTTTATAGCAGTTTGGATTCCTTGTCCGCGTAAATCCCAATAGTATACAGCACAAACATGTCATATGCTCGGTTGATTTCGTAACTTCCTTTACTGATGAACATGCTTCTGAATCTTACAAGCATATAATGTACAGGTAGCTATATTGTATTTGTAATATGATGTCTACAAACAAGTTGATGAAAAATCAGATTTTTTTTTTTTTTACCTTTGTCACTGAAAGGAACTGCATAGGGAATTTCAAGGGCTACAAATGAAATTATGGTACCACGGCCACCGGAGTAATGGTTTCATCTTCGAAGTTTTAACCATTTGTTACCAATAATCTCCACAAGAGCATTTTCCGTCCTTAAAATGATGAAACCGCTTATTATCCCTAACAATAAGCTCCCTCCCAACAATTCTAGACATGATTTTTATTGCATTGTGACAGTCACCGCAGATTCGGAGATTCTTGATGATCCTAAGAGTTTGCCTCGCCGGAGTGCTAATTAAACCATAGGCAATAGCTAAACGCTCGCTGTGGTACAGCAAGGCCTGCTCTTTTGCCTCTTCGTCAATGTCATGAAGCACATATCTGGTATCTGGAACATAACCAGCTTCCTTCATCTGCCCATTTAAACCTTTCAACTTCTCATAACCCTCTCCCTTGTAAGGTTCTGCACACCGGTATTCAGCCACCCTATGCTTCTCCTCCAACATATTGGTAGCTGAGTACTTCCTTCTTGGGGGCAATGCGATTTTACTATCATTGCCTCGTGAAGGATCCAGAGCAACCAAAGACTCCTCGATTCGATCCTCAAGTTCAAGATCCCCATGAATTCGTGCAAATTCCCTAATAGTCTTCCACATTTCAACTGTGGGCTCAAATGGCATCCTCTCAACAAACTCCTCACATTCATACAACAAACCAGTTGTTCCAAGAACATCAACAACACCAAGATAATGTTCGATCCCAGGAGTAATACCGTATTCAATCCTCATTGACTCAAAGTGTAGCAAACATTCTTCCACAACTCCAGCGCTAGCACATGCCATGAAGACAGCCGAAAAAATCTCCGCATTGGGCTGCAATCCTAACTTCTTCATTTCGTCAAACAACAATAGCCCATCAACTCCCTGACCATTTGCTGCGTATGCATTTATCAACAAATACCAGGACCTCATGTTTCTTTTACGCATTCTATCAAACGCACGGCGTGCGTCTTTCGCACTCCCGCATTCGCCATACATTTCAACCACTTGATTATTCAAGTCAACATCAAAAGCAAAAGGCGAACGTTTCAACAACTCATGTGCCTTTTTACCCAGTTCAAGCGACTTTAAATTCGCAGAGGCATCCAAAAGAGCAACAAAAAGCCCATGATCAGTACATACATGTTGACCACCAGCGATGAACTCTATTGCTTCCTTGACCTTTCCTTCCTTGCACAAGCCCATCAAATCAACATCTAAAGGGACATTAAGCAGTCGATTCTTTTCATTTGAAGGGACGTGGTGCTTGTGGCGGCGATAGAGTTTGGTAGGGGTACTGTTGTGGGACATGTGGGAACACATGGGTTTGAATTTGTTCGGATTTGGAGAAGGCGGTGAGGTTTTGAGGGTGGTGATTAAAAGAGATCTATATTGTTGCACTTGCATAGCTACCGGAGACGCCATTTACGTGACCTCTCAGCTCTCAAAACTTGCTTTTGATTTTCGTGTAAATTACATTAAACATTCTGTGATACATTCGCCCTAACATTTCACCTCTTTACCTTTCAGAAATTACATCATCATGTAATTTTTAATTTTATTTCTACTCGAACACCCTGAATTTTAAATCATTTAAAATTGATTCATTGAATTTTTTTTTTTTGTTAATTTTAAAAATCTCTAAACTTTTAATTTTTCTTACATTCAACCTTTAGTTTTCTCATTTATCTCAAAAAACAATAATTACATAAATAATTTTACTGTAGAAATCATTTGTGGGCTCTTCAAAAAATTAAAGATCATTTTCTATTTTTCTAAATTTTTTATACTTTTAAAATTCAATAAATAAATAAATATAATTTTTTATTTTGAAAAATTTTAAATTTTTTCTATAAAATAGATTTTTTTTTCAACGTGTGCAAAATATTTGCTCAAAATCTTAAGATTTGAAATTTTTGGAGGGGAGGATGATAACCAAAAATCTAACTAAATTTGAAAAAAAAATAAAAGTTCAAAAATTTTTAAAATAAATAAAAATTGTTATTAAAAAAATTAAGACACACAGATGCAAGTCCTTTTTCTTTTTTCACCTTCTAACAAACCGGTAAAAACAAACGTACCACATGACAGTTGACCACACTTATTACGTTTTTGTTTTTTTTTTTTTTTTTTGTTACATTAAAAAATTAAAAAAAAAACTAAAATTTATGTACTTAATTGAAAAAAAACTAAAAGTTGGTATACCAATATTGCAATTTCCTTTAGTAAAAGTCAAAAGACACTTTAGCGGAAAACAAAGCAATTAACAAAAACTAGATAGAAATGCTTAATTGGAAATTTTAAGAAAATCAATGTATTAATGTAAAAAATAATAATTAAAATCTATATATTTGATTGAGAAAACGTGTGAAGTTGGTTCATTGATAGTATAATTATTTTATTAAAAAAATGATTACATGGTAGCTATCTCGTATTACATGCGAAAAATGTGGGCTTGAATTAAAAAAAAGAAAAAAGGAAAACAAATTAAATTAAGAAAATAAATTAATAGTGTAAACAAAAACGATAATCAAGGTCAAATTTTCAAATATATATATATATATATATATATATGAATTAGTTCAATGTAATTGTGTTGGTTTAGTGTTTATATGATTATATATATATATAAAACACTAAACCAACACAATTACATTGAACTAATTCAATTAACCCTAAATTGATTATTGATCAAATTATCCAATCAACATAATCAAAGACAAATTTTCAATTAAACACATGAATTCATGTTTATTTAACCTCAATAATATTAAATCAACACAATTACATGAAACAAAATTCATTAATCCTAAGTTTGGGTTTGGTCGAATTATTTGGATCCCAACCACCAACAATAAATGTAATATTCAGAACCTCCAAATAAATGAATTAATATATTTTAAATATGTATGAAAATTTCCTTGAGTGCATAGAAAAAATGTGAAAGACATGCTAGAATATTCGGTGAACTTAATTGAATTTTTCAATGCTTGGCGAATATTTTATTGACTTTTTTATGTAAGAATAGTACACTTTTATGCAAAATAATTATTTTAAGTGCTTAGATAAGTGCATAAAAATTAAGTGATTGATGAATAAATTACTATAGAGAGTGTATGAATTTATGGTGAACAGAGATTATTTTTCAATAATGTGTGGAATTAATTATCTACATAGGGACTTAATTGCATAAAATTAGGAACTCAATTATATAAAATTAAAAGTTTTGGCCCTTAAATAAAATGGGAAATAAACTTTAGGCGGTATAAAGATATTGAAAAAAATCCTTAAAGAAGGACCAAAAGTAGTCAATTGAAAATTAGAAGAGCTTAAATGTAGGGATGAAATTGAAATAATGAGATAAATCAAGTGATTAAAATAAATATTTTTGTTAAAATCTTTTCATCTTAACCCGCCACCTCACCCTCCAAATTGAATGAATGTCACAATTAATTAAATAAATGGAAGGCTAGGATTAAAGGGATGAAGGCTCCAATAAGGGGACGATTAGGAGTCAACGTACATTTCAAAGTAAGATCAAATATTTCCTTCATTCTTTGTTTGTCCCATTTTGCCCGAACATGGGACTGATCCTCCAAAAAAACAGTGCAAGGCATAAACCTCACTTTTAGCCCATAGACAAAGTTGGCCCAATGTATGTCACGGGCAAACATTAAAGCGCATAAAATTTTAGCCTTGACATCAGGAATTAGTTAGCCTAAAAGGCTACGAGCCATTGGTAAAAAAATCTTTGAGATCAGAGTCTAAAGAAAGAAAAGGGCCAAGGTTCATAAGGTAACAAAGAAGTCAGGAACCTATGAAGATCGAAAGGAAATTTCCTAAAAAAAAAACGCAAAAGAACCACAGGATCCATCAGAGCAATGATCTCTTAAAATGAAGTTGGTCATAAAGAAGACTAAATTGGAGTGTTAGGAACAGGCAAGAACAAAATCAAAAGAGAGCCTCATTCTAGGAAGAGGCAGAAGAAGACTTTGGAGGAGCCATGCTGAAAACTAAGAATGTGAGGATACTTGATATAGATCTTTGGAAATCCTAAAGTTTGAAGAAGAGCAGTCAGCCACTTGTAATAGGATGAATGTAAGCCCAATCGGTGCACTAGCTGATAGATTACAAATATCTGCTAAACCTTAGGAATTGAACTATTAGGCGCTAAATGAGTTATTTCTTACACACATGAAGAAGATTCCCACATATGGTAAGAAATGAGACAAGTGTTACAACTAAATTTATCTTGGGTCCAAGCCTAATAAATTGGTCATAAGACTTGAGGAAAATCCATCAAGTTTGTCAAATAGATCTATTGGTTAATCTTATTTAAAAGCTCATTGGTCTAGACCAATTCAAAAATAGACCAACAACCAATTAATTAGACCCAATACACTTATCAAAACCTCAATCACATAATACAAATGTAATCAGTTACTAAAGATTAAAATACTAGAGCACTCTCTTAAAATGATGAGAAGTAGACTTTAGAGATTGATAAAACGTGAAAATCATATCTAAAAGAAAACTAGTGGTTAACCATTAATGTATATGTAGTTAGGAGAATAACAAACTTTTAATAACAATAAAATGTGATCCTAAGTAATTAAAAAGAATATAAATAACTAGAAAGAACATGTAGGATTGCGAGCATAAAAACCACGAAGCAAAGTATTACAATGTAAAAAGAAATGCAGCACAATAGCTTGCATTGAAGGAAGTGGCCTACTATTGGAGATCAAGAAGCAACATGAGGCCTATGAATATTAGCATAAGCCTAGAAGAATGACACACATAACTAGACAACAAAACAGACATACTATTACAAGCAGCTCAATAAGCATCATCAATCACAAGTTTCACACTTAAAACTTGTTGATAGTAGCTCGTGGGTAATAGATTTGTAGGTATGAAATAATCAAATAGAAGATAGTTATCCTCCATTCATTTGCTCGTGTTTACATTCACCGTCCTTTACATTCATCTATCTATTTTTATGTTTAGAGTACTATCTTGAGGACATTCATCATTTTCATTTATTGTAAGTTCATTTGATTAAGCATCATAAAAAATTGTAGTATTACCATCATTCTATGAAATTTTTAGTTTTCATTCATACTACCGACCTTAATTCTTAGTGTTTGATTGATTAAATTTATAATTTATTGCTTGAATATTGTTATTAATGTTGCATACTAGATTAGAAAGTTTGAATTTTACTTTAATGCACAGTTCGTTTTTAAGTATTTGCCCTCCAACTTTACAATCCAACCAACTTGAGAAGTCAAGATTTTTCTATAAGCGATCTTTAAGGCTATTGTAACTTCTTTTATTTGTTTAATCCTAGTTTCTTTGCAACCTAAAAATCTCATAAATAACAATTGTAGTTTATATTTGCAAGACAATTTAGTTCATCTACTTGTAAGATTGAAAGATTGATTGCCTTATATAATATTTTTCAATAGTTCTTTTTTTTTTTTTTAATAACATCCTCTTAGTTGAGGTATGTACAAAAAACCCGAAATAGAAACCTAACAAAAAGATTGTCATCTAAACATGGTTGAAGCCTAAGGTTCAAAACAATACCAAAATTAATCTTTATTATTATTATTATTATTATTAATAGATGGATTTTTCATTTTTGGAATAATGGATCTACCGCCTTGCTCATAATGAGCATGTCTTGGGTTCGAACCTAGGTGGGGTAGGATGGGGTCTAGCTGCTAAGCTCAGAGGATGAGAAGATCGCCTTGCTCATAATTAGCACGTCTCGGGTTCGAACCTGGATGGGGTGTGGGGGTGTGTCTAGCTACCAGGCCAAGTGGATGAGAGGAAAAAAATTCAAATTAATTGTGAATCGATAAACACTAAAGTTTCTCAACAAACACATCTTGTAAATTGGCTTAATGCGTTTAAAACATAAAATAAAATCTATCAGATTTTAACCTCAAGGATCGAATCTACAAAGTCGAGAAAGAGAATAAACTTTCTTAAGAATTCTTGTTTGTCTTTATATAAGAAGGGCAAAAAATCATTAAAACAGATTAATGTAAAGGATATATATATATTTTTTTTTATCTTAACATACAGGATTTAGATTATCAGATATGAAACAAAGAGCCAACAAAATGCAACTGCAAAAGAATATAATAGTTGAAAGGCATAGACCGAAAAATACATATTTATATATACATATACACAACTCCATGAGACCATACAAAATTGATCCTGCTGCTGCTCCCACTAATTCTTTTTCCTAATACAATAATGAGTACAACCTATTCCTGACAATCAATTTCATATGACCAATTATACAAATTATACAAAGAGGAGGAGAAAAAAGGAAGAAGAAGAGTTGAAAATAGGATAGCAACAATGAATAGATCACATCATCAGATCATCCCCAAAGAGGTAGAGAATTCTCTCAACAGCCCAACTAGGCTCAGTCCTGGTCCAAGCCAGACTTTGTGAACTTGTCAGCAAAGGTGCCCTGCACAGCGGGCAAGTATTGTGATTCTCGTCCTGCTCATGATCATGATCTACCCATCTATCAATGCACTCCTTATGGAACACGTGGCAGCAATTCCTCAACTCTCTGACCTCATCTTGATCCCTCAACTGGCTCAAGCAGACAGCACACGTGTCACAAACTCCCGCCACCCTCTCCACGACGTCACTAAAAGTGGTCAAAATCAGACCGTCCCTAATTTGCTGCGAACAAGGAACAGGATGAGATTGCTGTAGAGAATCATCGCTGGATGAGGGTAAATGGGTTCTGTTTTTAAATCTCAGAGCCCAAGCCAAAGCCCATCTCAAGACTGCTAAAACAAGAGCTGCCTTGTAGAGAAGATGGCTTACTATTAACCCTGACTCTTCTACAAAGAAACCCATTATATCAATTGATGCAAACAGTGTAGTAGTTAAGCAACAAAATTGAAAATGAAGAAACCCTAGCGGAGAGAACAAAAACAATTAAGCAAGAGGAGGAGGAGGAAGAAAGAGAGAAAGGGGGAATTTCCAAGGAGCATCTGGGCGCTTTATAAAGGCCAAGATGAGGGGTTGATAATGGTGATAACCTTTTGCTTTACTTTTGATTTAGTGTAATTTATTTATTGTTAGGTGTCCATGTCTGGTACGAATAAAGGGTCACTACCGACAATATAGTGAATACGTCACCATCATGTGCATTCGTGTAGATCACAACGCACAAGGACGGTGGCTTACTATCTCAAGTTCTTTTTATTTTATAACTGTAATTGATCCTTAAAGAGAAGAAAGGAAAAGTAAAAAGCAGAAGGCAGAAACAACTAGTTGCTTTGGTTGCTCTTTTTATGACAGTAATGAATATCCATAATATAATGTCATATATATCTTTCTTCGATCGTTTGATGTCTTGCTTTAGAAAAGAAAAGGGTAACCCATTCTCAAGATCGGTATGCTTTTTTGCTTTTTTTTAAAAAAAACTAAAACTTCTTTCATTTTTAGAAAATCAAAGTAAAAATACACTCATCAATTGTGTTTGTGAGTATTGATAAATAAAATAAAAACGCATGTCCAATATTTAAGGAGTTGGATAACTTCCTTTGGGCACATGCTTTATTGCTGGCTGTAGGCTGTAGCTTTTGGCAGGACAACCTCAACCCCGTTGTTCAAATTGGAAGGAACTGGAGAGGAAAACGAGTCGCTTGCATCATCATCAACCTTCGACATGGACAGCAGACAACTGCAAAGCCAAAGATTGTTAGGCGAGGATAGAAAGGGTCCATTCCATTTGCAATCTTGAGGTAGGTTTCTTTTTCATGGGTACGACGTGAGAAATGACCTCATCACACATGTAAATTCCACTTATCCTAGTCATAACCCACAAAAAAGGTGCATAATATCCAATTACTTTTTTACAAGTATTCAAGCAAGCAAGAAAGGAAATTACAAGACAAGGCATTTCTGTCCCTTAACGAAGAATTATCTTATTTGTACCTAAAAGTAGCCAATAACACCTCATAATCCATAATGTTCCAATCCCTTCAAGGATGGTGTATGCGTGTGTGTATATGTATAACAGGTAGGCCTTCAAGTCCACAGATAGGGGCAGAGTCATCATGTCTTTGAATTTAGCCATTGATACTCCCACGTTGCAATCTCTACTTTTTAGTTTTTATTACACTTCAGATGATAACGAGCGATTCTCGTTGATGATGATGATGATGTAACTCGCAGAAGATTGTGGGTTTCCAATCAGTCGTAAACTTCACATAAGGCTCTTAAAAGGGGGAAAATGGCCAAAAGAGAGAATCGAATAATCTGATCCATTCCCCCCAGCCTCATACTCATGCCTACGCCTTTGCAGTATTTAAAAAGCCATCAAAAAGAGGAGAAAGGAGGAAAAGAAAAGGAAACTGTAATGATGTTTGGCATCTGTTAATTCAATTACATTTGCTGATTAGTGGTGACCACATCCTTAGGCATACACCAAAAGCACGATGATGAAACATATATTGGGAAGCAAAGCAAACAACACCCAATATATGGACCAGCCTACAATATTCTAGGTAAAATACAATATAGAAATCGTGTTCTTTGCAAATAGTCTCCGAAATATTCTCTATCCCGCTAGACAATGTTCATACACAAAAGGATGACTTTTTATTGCCTTGCAAAAGGAATTGTATTCAACACTCCATGAGCTGATGACTAGCAGCCCATGTGTTCGGGTGCACAATATACATTGTACAAACCAATACAAAACTTATCAACACAATTTCTTCAGGAAACAGACAACTTGCACATGCAGATTAAAGATATAAACAATGTACAAGCTCTCAAGCACTTGTATGTGGGCCCTGCTGTCCACTTTCTTCTATTTTCTGCTTCATCTTGTACTGCAAAGTTGCAGGAGCACAGTCCAATGGAGTTTCCCCTATAAAAGAAGGGATGCGTTAGCATAAAGTAGAATACTGGGGAACCAAAAGCACCCACAAATTATTACTAGTGAGTTTATCTTGGATGAAATGTAAGAAATGATCGTCCTTGGTCATCCATGCAACATCATCATTCACTACAACCACATTTAACCTTGATTGCAAATTGCTCTTTTAACTTTCTTTGTTTCCCCGGATGACTAATAATGAACTAATAGAATACAAACCTTCAATAACAAAATGAATATTCCCTAAGTCCCCTCATGACTACTTCTTTTGCAACCTGAAAGAGCTACTGAGCATATTTCAAACCTTCAGAACCTTAAAAATATATGCGGTTGCTTTCTACATGCCTTGCAAATATTAAGAGATTCCCTTATCTAATCAAACAATTTAATGAAACTGGGCACAATAGCTAGACATGATACTGGATATAAAGCTAGTCACCTTGCGCATTCTCATAGTTCACACTTGCTCCAGAGTCCATGAGGATGAAAGCTATATCAGTGCGATTAAATAGTGCAGCCTGCGCCCAATCAATCCTTTCATCAGTGATAATACTTTTTAGAGGCATGCAAAACATGCCATGCAGAGAAAGTGAGAGATCATTATACCAGATGTAGCAAAGACATCCCTTGCTTATCACGATAATTTGCATCCACCCCCTGACAAGATATCAATGTTTAGTTTCATTTTTTTCAAATCTGATTTTGCATTAAAGATGGCGAATACCTCGCTCAAAAGCTTCCTGACTGCAACAGTATCACCATTCTTTATGGCTTCCCTTAAACCCTACACAGAACACATACATGGGCACAAATAACTGATCCACAAAACTCTTTATGAAAAAGTACACCGTTATGACTATCTTAAGTGGATTATACCTCTCCATTGACATCATAATCCATCTGAGGTTTATCAACACCACCATTTGTCATCTGGCCATGATTGAAAACCGAACTGCAAGTTTTTCACAAGTTAACAAAGGACCTTAGGAGAACACAATTTCCCACCAATTTTAAAAGCCAGCAGCTATCTAAATGAAACAACAAAAATGATACAACAGTTAGAATTCCAAACAAAGTAGTCATCTCATTTATGTCTATCTAGTAACTTAACTCTGGTCCTATAATGTAATTTCATTCCCTGCAAAGCACAACTTGCATCTATTTTAGCTCCCTTGTGCCCATGCAGAATCATGTTTCACAAGATATACGATTCTGGACTTGGAATTGGTTCCCTAGGTTTAGGATTTGCAAGTAAAAGTCACTTGTTAACTTATATTTCAATGTGGGACAATGTTAGATGACCAAAGGTCAAGAGCTGTAAGAAAATGGCAGATGGGAGGGTGTGAGGCTAAAATCTAATTTGAATCCATTAACAAAAAATAATGCCCAAATACATTGCATACTTTCATATGGTTAACTTCCATGATCTTGCAATTCCACCTGCCAACTTGTATCTTTCGTAAACCAATGTACTTCTGCAAAACCAACAGTGGCTGACCAGCAGGCAACCAGTTTCCTTCACCAGTAGCTGCATGGTGATGCATTTTCATCCAAAGTAATTCAATTCTTACTTTATCCTAGGAAAGTTATATTACAATTTACAAGATACCTAATACTTGACTCCTATTATGTGAATCTTGATATTTCTGTTAGATCTTTAAAATTGGCATCATCGGTTGCACCACTAGCACGTTACCAAGATAGACTCTCAATGCTCAGTTGAAGATGAGATGGCCTATGAAGAGATGTCTCTAGAATATGATAGAGGTGCTGGTTGTTTCCATTTCCTTGTGAGGGATAAATGCTACTTTAAAACCATTGGTATGATTGAAATTGATGAGGCCAGCATCATATGTTTACCTTAAATCACTGTCCCTATTTGGCCTCCAATGAGGACTAATTTTGGTTGTTATACCTACACCTATTCACATATCTGTGTTTGCGGTTTCAAAATATTGAGAGAAGGTGCTTGTAAAGAAAAAGGAACATGTACCATATTACAGAATACATAAAAATAATTATAAAAAAAAAAAAAGAATAAGGAGAATGGGAAAACGGGAAGAGAATCATATTTTGACAAGATAACCTATGCACACATAATTACCAATGGAAAACAAACCAAGCCATTAGTGAGCAGAATAAAGCTTTGCCATTTAATAAAACCTCATTTGAGTTTGCCTGCTAGTTTATTGTTGCTAATAACAAATCATTCTTAACATTCATGCTCGTTTGGACTTGAGCAGTGAACATACCTAGGCTTGCTGCTTGAAGTGGAACCTCTGTTCTTGGGAGTAGCATCTGTTTTCTTTGGTTTTGGATTCGATTGGGATGTGAATGTGGAAGAAGGTTTCGTCTATTACATGATGGATTTAGTAATTATTACCTCTATTTATGGCAGAAGGCATCTAAAATCATTATATAAAGATCATACCTGCATGGGAACTGGATCTGTTTTTGTTTCTGGTGCTTCACAGATGCATAAAGGCATCCCACACTTGCACTCTATAACACCTGTGGCAGATTGGTGTTGCGTAGTTGGATCTGGTTTTGGATGTTTTTCTGCATCAATGTCCAATCTGGAAAGTTTATCTGTTACAGAATCAACTCCCTCTACAGAAACTTGGGATTCAACTTTATTTGATCTGTGTCAAAACAAAGTTCGTGATAACAGAATAAATTTTCTGCATAAAGATGCAAGATTTTCATAAAGGTGAGAAAGGAAGGACAAGAGAATGAAAAATCCTTCGGTGGCCCTAACCTACATGAAGATATACAAACAACTGACAACCAAGGAAGAGATAGCATTACATAAAGCATCTCTTCACTCTAAAATAGGAATCGGGGACAAAGCTTCTTCTTAGCTGAGAAATCCGGCATGCATGTTGAATGACCGAGAATCATTTAATACCTTAAGAAAGACAAAGACATCTCGAAGAATGAAATAATTGACTTTAATGTACCTTCCAAAGCATCCCTCCTCCAACCAGAAGCTTCAATCTGCAAGTATCTTTATTCCTATCTCTATATTATTCTGCTACAAATAAGAAATTATATATCCCCACACCCAAATACAATCTTATAGTATATTACTCTTTACTCTTAAGAGGATGTAAAAGGAATAGTTACTGTTCTCAAAATGTTAACATAACAATCCAAGACACGTAGATATCTTGATTTTTGCTTGAAGCAAGATCGAAGCCCATTGAATCAAACTTGAAGAAAAGACTGCATTTTCGCCTCACACAAAAGATATCTAGGCATACTTTTACAAGTTTATTATACAATTTTAATGACATGTTAGTACAATTACTTTTTCAATCTAGCATGCTAACCTAAGAATAAAAATTCGATCAAGTTCAGTGATTTACCGAGTAGAATTATTAAAACAATCAGCACAAACTCTAACATTCGAGAGGATTGAAAACTGCGGCAAAGCCTGAATTAATGCACCCAGAAAAAAGGAAAAAGGTCAATTAAAATTCATAAGTTAAAAGGGAAAAAAAACAGCGAGAAAGAGAAGACAGACCATTTGATTTGATGAATGTTCGTGGCATAACGTCCTACCGCAACAACGGCAATGATGCTACAAAAATAAATGAAAATAGAACTTTATCAAAATCGTGAACAATTCTATCAAAATAGTTTAGATCAATCCCTGATCGCGGCATAGATTTGATCGAATCAATCTGTCCTTTTATTAGCATAAATTTTAATTGATTAAAAAAAGAAAGGATGATTCAGTAGATTATTATAATAAAAGGAAGGACAAGAGAATTTGAAGGAATTTACGCGGCGACGGAAAGCGTTGAAGCTGCATTTGCAGACGTCACAGCGAGCTGCTTCTTGAAAAGGCGGAGGCTCCGTTGACATTATTTTCTCCTTCTCCGATCTCTCTCTCTCTACCCTTTTTATCAGTCACCGATTTGGTTTTTAGCTCTGGGGATTGTTTCAACTTTCAAAATGCTGTTTGATTTTCTTTTCCTGGAATGTTTTGCTTATCCGTTTTATGTTATCGGGTTGCCCGCTTGGATCGCACCCGACTGCTCTCTCCTGATACGATGTCGTGTAAGTACTAAGAAGAGGGGATTAAGGACCATTGCTTTATTAGCACTCCAAAAATTGATTTTGGCACTCCCTTTCTCTATCTTTCTGCGTTTTTTCTTCTTGTCGTCTCGCTTCCCTTTCACCAAAATGGAGCATTCACAAAAAATCATTTTATTATAACACTCCAAGAATTAATATTGGCACTAATTTTATTTTTTTATTTTTTGTGTTTGCTGTTGAAGTTAAAATCATCCCAGGGAAAAAAATGTTAAGTTATAATGCAATGACACATGCTATTTGTAATTGACCATAAAACTAAGGAAAAAAGATCTCCACATACACTTAATATGAATTTTTTGTCCATCTACCTTCTATTTGAAATATTCAATTTTTTTTTTCACTTCCAATCCGAATGAGTCTGGTTAAGCAGAAAACTTTCTCTGTCTGCAGAAACTGACCAGATTTGAGTTTTTTAAATATTTAAATCAATTTTATAAAAAAAAATCTAAAAAAAAACTACATCTCCAACTAGTGATGGCTAAATTACTCGGTCTGATGAGTATCAAACAAATCCGACTCGAGGAGGGCGGATACGAGAGCATTTTCTCCCCGAATAAGCAAATAAAGATGAGGAAGGAAGCACGCACCTCGTCTAGTTGAAAATCTGAATCCAATTATATATATATATATATATATATATATTGCCTTTTATCATGCATATATATATTTCTTTGTTATAAAATAAATATAAGTAATATGAGAATTGAAGAAAATGATAACAAAAAAATGAAATCACTATAATGTGAATACAAGTTATAAAAACTTCAAAGTTTCTCTTATTCTCTTTAGAAAACTTGTACACCAACTAATAAACAATCAAGCTTGTTTATAGCTTCAAAATTGAGGAGAGAATTGAAAGGGATTATGAATAATCAATTGCATCATCCTTTCAATCTCTCATATTGAATGATGAATTCAATTATATTAAGAATCATGAGTAGTGGAGATTTGAAAAGTATATGAATATGATGATGGACATTCATTATTTCATAACACTCTCCCTTGAATGTCCATTATACAAGGAATATGCCTCGTTAAAACCTTACTAGAAAAAACCCAGTGGAAAAAAATCCTAGTGACGAAAAAAGAGTACAATATTCCTTATACACATTAATCTCAATGTTGGTTTCCCATATTGAAACATCATTTGAGATCTTTAAGACGATGTATTGCAATCCGGTGAATCATCTTCTCAAAAGTTGTGGTAGGTAATGCTTTAACGAATAAATCTGTTGGATTGTTACTTTGATGTATTATTCCTTCAATGAAATTATGCAAGTAGCATTATCCTCATATGATATTGTTAGAACTTCTTTACTAATAGATAAACCGCATGTCTCTCGTATATGATAGATCATTGATCTTAGCCAAACACATTCTCGACTTGTATTGTGAATTGATATTTCCGCATGATTTGAAGATGTGGTAGCTATACTTTGCTTCATAGAACGCTAAGATATAGCTCGTATCTCCATATGTAAATATATAACCAATTGTGATCGAACTTTGTGTAGATCATATAGATAACTCCGCATCCGTATAATCAATTAATCTTGTTTTCAATTTATTGGAGTAATATAAGCTCATATCAATTATTCCTCGAATATAACGTAGTATATATTTAATTTTATTTCAATATCTTCGTATTGAAATAAAACTATGACTTGCTAATAAACTTATAGAAAAGATTATATCGAGTCGAGTATTATTAGCAATATAGTGGCACTAAGACATAGTACTTCGAGACCAAATAGTTCTTCGTTATCTTCTCGAGGTCAAAAAGAATCTTTTTGGATATCAAGTGAATGAACTACCATTGAGCTAGTCAATGAATGATCTTTATATAGAATCATTTTAGAACTTTTTTCATATAAATTGATTGATAAATAAAAATCTCATTCTCTAAGTGCTCGAACCGCACGTCGAGATAACATTTTGTTTTTCCAAGATATTCACATCAAATTCTCTTTTTAGATAACTTATGACACTTGGAATCTCTTCAGGAGTTTCAATAATATTTAAGTTATCAACATATATAACAAACCCCTTTTTAAATAAAAATATATGAACAAATAGGGTTTTTTTTTTTTAGAACTTTCTTTCAATAATCTTTGAAGTGATTATATCACATGCACACGGGTTAGTAATAAACAATAGATATAAAAATAAAATATAAAATGTATAGTATAAATTGAATTTTAAAAAACTAAAATAATAAAACAAATACTAATAATTCTAATAAAGATCTCTATAATTTAATTAAATTCTTTTCTCGAGAATACGTATTACATGTTTCGGCATGTTAAGTCCTTCTAAGACTTTTATACCGATATCATTTCAAATGAATAAATAAATTGTGATCACATTTATTAAATGCATGCACATAAATGTTTTTCATATATTTTTTCAGCCTAATGAGATAACAAAAGACAATTGCATCCATTATTGGAGAATATGTCTCATCATTGTCAATGTCAATTCTTTACAAAAACTTTTATGTTAAAAGTTTTGCTTTGTATCTTATAATCTCATTTTTCTTATTTCATTTTCGCATAAATACATATTTGTATCCCACTCGGCTTAACATCTTCAAGTGCTTTAGCTATAGGTTCAAAAACTACTCTTTTATAAGAGAATATAATTCGTACTGGATTGCTCTTTTCATTTAGGCCAATCATCTTTATGTCAACATTCTTCAATAGATTTTGGCTCAAGATCCTTATTTTCATTCAAAATATCGATTGAAACATTATATATAAAAAAAGTTTCTTTTTGGCCCTTATTTTCTCCTTGTATTGACATAATTTATCAAAGTCTCTTAATTTTTCTCAAGCATTTGGACTTCTTCCGAAGCCTATTATCATATATATCTTAGACCATTTTGTGAATATTTACATTTTTTATATTTTCATCTTCTCCTTTTCTTTTGGAGATTTTTATCTTTAGAACCGATCGGTCTTTCACGCTTCGAGCGTGCTTTAGATTCATTAGCTATAATATTAATAAAGTGTCCTTCTAGGACATCAATTCTAATAGAAGCATTCTCAATGAGCACATGCATTTTAATTGCTCTTTAAGGATATGAGAATACATCTAGCAGTTGGTTTGTAATACCTTGTAAACGAATTATCTTCTAAATTTCTAGTTCACATTGTTTTATACCAAATTGATATAAAGATAGAGTACTCTATGTAATCTCTTTTTTTTAATATTTTCAATCGCTTATTTTGTTTATTCTCTCTCCCATGATGTTAGAAAAATTATTTTATCAAAATGGCAATCGATAAATCAAGCTCGTAAAAATATCACTTATTCATGATTTAAGATATTTAATTATCGAAAATGATTCAAATCTAACATATATTCTCAATCTTCTTTAAATGCTCATTTTATTTCGTTATGAAGGAGCACTAAGGATATACACTATAACGTAAAAAAATTCTTAAATAAAAAATATTTGGCTCATGACCATAAACAAATTAAAGGGGAGAGAATTTCGATAATTTATGGGTTTGATGCGAATAAATATTGTTGCATGTAAGATTGCGTCTCCCCAAACATAAACAAAGAGTTTTACTTTAAAATAATGATTTAACTATCAATTGGAGCCTTTTGATAAATAATGTTGCTAAACCTTTCTAAGTATGAACATAAGCAACGGGATGTTCAACCTTTATTCTAATAGCCAATCAATAATAATTTAATGCTTGAGAAATAAATTCATCAGCATTATCAAGGTGATTTTTTTTAATAGCATAATCTAAAAATTATGCTCGAAATCAAATTATTTGCTAGCAATCTCGATAACGTCGGGTTTCGAGTAGATAATAAGCATATATGTGACCATCTTGTGGATGCATTTATTAAAATCGTAAAATATTTAAATGATCCACATGGTGGATGAATTGATCCACATATATCACCTTAAATACATTCTAAAAATAATGAAGATTCAATCTCAATTTTACCTTGTGATGGCTTAATAATCAACTTATCTTAAGAACATGCGTAACATGAAAATTCATTAAATTGAAAAATCTTCTAGCTCTTCAATAAATGTCCATATGAATTTTTGATAATTTTTTACATCATGAAAGACCCAAGATAGCACAACTAGTCATGTCACATAATAAAAACAATTGAATTAGTAAATTTCTGGTTTGCTATAGTATTTGTTTCAATCATTTCAATATTGTAATAAAGACTATAAGAGAAAACGGATAAATTTTTCAATACATATTTTCTACCTAGTATAATGATTATAATATATAAGTATTCATATTTGCTATCTTGATATGACATTAATTTAGATGAATATCTTTGAAACTTTATAAATTTCTATGAGACTTTGAAGAGAATAGTACATCATTTATAATAAAATTTAACTCTTCAAATAATAACATATTTGCTCTTCTAGAGCCTTTAAATTATGTCACTTCAAGTAATAATATATCGACTCTTCTAAAGCCTTTAAAATTTATCTCTTCAAGTAATAATATATTCACTCTTCTAGAGCTTCAAAGATTTATCTCTTTAGGTCATATTATAATCGTTTTTCTAAAGCCTTCAAAATTTATCTCTTTAGATAATCATATAGTTGCTCTTCTAGATCTTTCTATTAGATTGATATTATCATATATAATATTAACATAAAATAAATAATCAAATAAATAAATAATACATAAATAAATTCATCATAAACACAAACAAACAAATAAATAGTAAAATAAGAAATATAAAACATTTTATTTATAAATAGAAAAACT